CTGGCAAATAATAGCGACTCCCATTTTAACCCTAAAGGAACTGTAGACACCAAGAGTTTAAATGACTAGCACCTACTAAGGTCGGGTAAGGAACCCAACGCCCACTCTAACCTCTTCCACCACCCATACAGCTTGCTCAGATCTCCACGTACCCTCCCCAAAAGTTCCAGGCCTTCCCACGGCACCTTAGTCTCCTTATATTCAGGTCAGAGAGAGGGAGGCTGCAAAGGAAAGGGGGGCAAGGGGCAGCATAAAATGACTCGCCCAAGGTCAAACGTCGGAGCGGGCAGGAAACCCTGGCTCGCCTGCAACGGAGGCCGCGTCCCCCGGGCATCCTCCTACAGCCCCCGAGCAACGACGAGCTGCCCGTCCTGGGCCTCGGGGAGCAGCGCGGGGCCGCACCCGGCTCGAGCTCGGCTGGCACCCCGGCCTGCCCATGCACCCCGCCGCTCCCCGCACCTGCCCGTGGCCGGCCGGCCCCACCCCCACGCTCGGCCCCGCACCCAGCGGCCCCACCCCCGCGCCGGGACCCCAGCGCAGGACCCCGGAAAGCTGAGTTTCCCACGCGGCGGCGCCCCGCCCGCGCTCCCTGCCACGTCTGCGGCCTCACGCACTACGGCGCTCCGCACCGGGGCCCCCGCCGCCGTCGCCGCCGCCGCCGCCGGGCCCGCGCCGCCGGCCACCCAGCCCAGCGACCCCGAGCAGCCAGCTCCTCCTCGCCCGGACCGCGAGCCCGAGACGGCCGCCGACTTCCTCCGCGAGCTCCGCCCCACCGTAGGCCCGGGAAGCGCCCGCCGCCGGAACGGACGGACGGACGGCGCAGCCAGTCGGGACGCAGGACCGGAGGGGGCGTGCAGACGGACGGCCCCCGCGACCAATCGGAACGCGCTATCGGAGGGGGCGCGGCCACTTCTACCGAGCCACGCCCCATATGCGCTTCCGTTCGGGCCGCGGTGGCGAGGGGAAAGTTTCCCAGAGTTCCTCCGAGCTGCCCGGGTGCCCGCGGGGCTGTGGCGGCCGAGGGGCGGGGACGAGGCGGCCGCGGGAAGGGTGGTGAGGGGGGCACCGGGTGACGGATGACCGGGTGAGGGGGGCGAAGACGGCGCGGCCGCGAACCGGGTGAGGGGGTGACCAGGTGAGGGGAGCGAAGACTGGGCGGTCGCGGGCAGGGTGAGGAGAGAACTGGGTGAGGCGGACGGGCACGGGGAGGCCGCGGGCCTGTGAGGGGCGGGCACGGGGCGGCCGCGGGCCGGTGAGGAGGGACTCGGGGAGGGGCGGGCACGGGGCGGCCGCGGGCCGGTGAGGAGGGACTCCGGGAGGGGTGAGCACGGGCACGCCGCGCGGCCTCCAAAGCCACCCCTTCCCAGGCGTCATGCGGGGCAAGGCCCAGCGCGCCCCTTCTAGGCTTCTCCGGCCCACCTCAGGGCTGGGCGGTGGAACAGCGCGCCCTACCCTGTTGTTTTCAGCCCCAAACCACCCTGGTGCAGGGGCAGCTCCGGAAGCGGACGCGCCCGCGTACCCGGCGCCGCGTGCCCTCCCGCTCCCAGAGCCGTGGGCTCCGCGTAGACGCCTTGACGCCCCTGGGAAGGCGCCCCTGCAGCGCGCTCGCCACCTACTGCCCCGTCCCCTGAGGAGTCGCCTCCCCACGCTGGGGCCGGGGCGCCTGGGGAAGGGTCACGTGCGGGAAGCGGAAGCCGGGCTCGCTCTGGGCTTCTCCCAGCCGGACTGCCCGAATCCCTCCCACCCGCTGCCAGCCTGGCCACGGTCATGGCTCCGCCCGGGGACCCGCGGCGCCTCTGCAGGCTGGTGCAGGAGGGCCGGCTGGGCGCCCTGCAGGAGGAGCTGCAGGTGGCCGGTGGCTGTCCGGAGATGGCCGGGGACACTCTCCTGCACTGCGCCGCTCGTCACGGGCGCCGGGACATCCTAGCCTATCTGGCCGAGGCCTGGGACATGGACATGGAGGCTGCAAACCGAGACTACAAGCGGCCTCTGCACGAGGCCGCCTCCATGGGCCACCGGGACTGCGTGCGCTACCTGCTGGGCCGAGGGGCGGTTGTCGACTGCCTGAAGAAGGCGGACTGGTAGGTGGCGGGGTCCAGGAAGACACCTTGTCTCCCCATTCCCTGCAGAATCGTAGGCACGATATTTCCGTGTACTTTGTCCGTCCCCTTGGACACCATAGCTTTTCTCAGCAACTAGTTCTCACCCCAGGCCTGCTCCGTGGCAGGGTCATCCT